AAAATAGTGTAACGTATATTTCACCAAAATGTTATATCTTAAAAATTTGAGCTCCTAGGCAAAAACTAATGCCATATTTGAATTCAGGGCATCAAATTCATATGAAATCAGCTCCAAATACCCCGGCACCAAAACAGCTGTTGGCCTGTGTAATAGGTACAGTAGTATCTATGTTGTCTTCATCTTGAAAGAAACATTTTATGTTGTGTTGATTGCCCAGTTTACACGAGGGCTGGGTTAAGATATGTGAGGCTATAACCTATGATAAAGATGAGGCCCCCCATATTTGTTTTAAAACGCATAAGTCTGACGTGTACAATTTCACATATCCTTGCTTAGCAGGCATTACAGCTGCATCACAAGGAGTAATGTTTCCTCCCAGATGTTTTCAGTTATCACATCCATCCTTCTGCATGTTAAGTCCATCGTTCTATTATGACAAGATGTCAGACATCTGTTATATTCTGAGTCTTACAGGGAAATTCATTGTGTTGTGGCCGTATTTTTTTCTCTGTGTTTGTAATATCAGATTGCAAGGCCCAGTGCTGTGACCTATCTAGCTTTTATGTAAATTCAGCACCGAGTTTAAGCCTCTTATACTTTCTATGTCGGTCTTCACCTTGTCCTATTTTGCAAACATTCGCATTCTCATAATTCTATATAACTAACAGCTGCTCCAAATATATGAGAGGCAGATGGCTTGAGTATAGCGTTCATTGATTTTTTTTATGTTCCAGAAGTCACACCTTGTCTCCATCAAATTGAGACATGTTGCAGTCCTTTGAGCACATAACCTTCCTTGTGAATAGTTTACATAACTGCTGTATATATGCATATTTTATCTTCTTCCAGCAGTGTTCCTATTTTATATGGATTAATGGATAAAAAAGTATCTGGTCTCTTTTTTTTTCTTTAAAGAACCTTTCATTTTCAAGTTCTTGCCACTTTTTTCTTCTCTACGTCTGACATGCTTGATCGTTCTGTGTGCGTATGAATGCAGTGGGATCATAGGCTTTGAACATCAGGAAGTAAAATCATGATGTGTCTAGCAGATCTAACCCATTGGCTTGTTTGGTTTGCTATTGGGACATGTGTGAAGGAGGGAGATGTCTGTGTGGGACTCATTACATCCCAAATAACAGTTGGATGAACTGGCCAGTTTTCATTAATCATGATGTCAGCCTCAGGTGCACCAACATCCTTGTGGAATGACTATTAAGTCAGTCTGTTCATCTGCCTGTGTGCATGAAAGGACTGCTGAATGGCTTTTCATGAAATATTACATTTGGGAATGCAACTAAAATATGGTTTAAAAGCAGGCAACAGTAACAGATATTTTCAATGAAGACCTACCCATATTTTTGCACACATCTTGAAGTGAATGATCCATCAAAGCAAAAAGTGTTTGGAACATAAGTAGTAGACAAGCATGAAACATAATTTATGTCTAATGCACTTTTTCTGTAAGTCATACATTCTCCAGGGTAATTAAATAGAAAAGAACAGACCTGCCAGAATTGTTACATTGTTTGCATTTCATAACATGTTAATTTTTCACCATCTGCATCATGGTGGTGGCCATATGAGCTTCCGAGGTGGGAGAAACCGTAATGCCATATCATAATTTATGCTGATAGATTCATGTCTGCAGCTGTGGTCTGCTAATGATGAATGCTTCCGTTATATCAGTGTAATTTTATGGAGATCTGGTACTCAGAGAAGACCTCATATTAGGTTGTTAACAGGTGAAACTAAAACGAGGTTTAACAGAAAAAATTTATCAGACTGTTGGTGTAATGTTTATTTGTAGTTTGCACACTAAGTTGTTAAAAGCTTGACAGTTTGACAGATGCTTGACATAAACATTGAGTACATGTACCATTTGAAGATAAATGGTATTCAATGTAGAGAGATCAGTAATTTTTCATACACCATATTTATAGAGGATGTACATGATACCATTTTCAGTCCCTTCCTTGTTAGAAACTGTAAGTTAAAATACAGTTCCACATTTCTTGAAACCGTAGCATAAGTATACTTTCTTAAATACATATGTATGGACACAGAATGTCTTGTCTTCTTATAGGAAGAACCATGTAATATGAGCATCTTCATTATGCAGAGTGTATTTGTAAGAGGTTGGCTAAATTTTAAGTGTGTTTCACAACAAAGTAAACTTACACATATGATGTTAGCTACACTACATCTGCTTGTTCATCTGTACATGTATGTGTGTGAGATTGAGGTTCTTATGGATGTGGGATGCAATGCTGTATAGTCTGGTAGATAGTTGCTGTTTTTGGAGGAATGTGCCTCCTGACCCTGTGGATGGAGGCAGCACATCTTCATGTATCAGGGTGTTTTATTTGAATAATATGTATGTTGGAAATGTTTAGTAAATTTCTTGCCTAGAATTATAGTTTTAAGTCATATTTTCCCATTAGGGGTGCATAATTGACTCGATAAAATGTCTAATTATTCGCTTGGTGGAAAATGTTTCATATAACATTTGTAAAATGCAGAGAACGAAACATTTGTACTGTGATGCAGTCCCCCCCCATGGGAAAGACTGATTGGCTCTGGTTAAAGTCTGTGGTAGGGCCATTGGAAGTTTTTCTTTACACCACCATTTTTGGAATATCTCTGCAGACCTGCTCAGCATATCCAGTGGATGCAAGGGGCTTTCCTGAGAGGGAAGCAAATGGAATGAAGTTGACTGCTCATCCCCATCTAATGCTAATGCTGAGAGTGTGTGGAGTTTTACCTCCAGTCTCCCTCTGTGTCTTTCTGCCATGGTGCTATGCACAGAAGCAACTTCATTATATTTTTATCATATAATGAGTGTTTTGAAGATTCAGACTTGTGGTGGGGAAACCTGTTAAAAATAGTCATCTGGGGGATCAGACTGGTTCAGGGTCATGTGCAATGGTGGTCTTTAATATTAGTGGTGTAGATCATTTGAGTCCTGCTACCAGATTCAGTTTCCAAATGTCTATAGGCCGTATGGTAAATACATCTGATTTATGTGTAATAATGCAAGGTTGTTTCCATGTGTTCATTTAATGTAATTGGAATCTACTGATTTAAATGATAGATAACAAGTTTTGTATGACTGTATATAGCATAAAATATATAAAATTCATATACTGTCCTTGTAAAATTAATTCCACGTTGGATATATTTGAGCAATAAAACTTGACAGATTTTCCACAAATTCTCCTAATTTTGTGCATTTTGTAACTGAATTTTATATGTTGTAGAAATCTTTATCTTAAACTGCATTAGGCATGTGCAGGAATGATTTTTTTATTTTGAGATAAGCTCAAGATCAGAATTTTGAAAAATTTCAACAATTGAGATGAGAATGAGAATTTTTTCTACTAAACTAGTTTCTCATCATAATTACAATTTATAACTCTAACCACTTTTAATCAGTGGATTGAAGTGTACCACTTATCCTTTTCCTCCAGTGAAACATTACTTTATTTAAACGGTTAAGTTCTGGGGCACACTTTTTTGATGTTGGCAGAGAGAAATATTTTGTTCAGAAAGTGATCTTTACTAGCTTGGCCACCCATTACCATTCTGATTGATCGCATAATTTGCATGTTACCACACAAAACAAAAGCAGTGATATGAAAATTCTTAATGTTTGAGATTGATTAATCAGTGTTGAAATCAATATCTATAGTTTTTCTTAATTCATGGTATAAAATTTGAGGTTTGTACATGCCTAATTTGTAGGCAGAAAAAATGGTACCATGTAATCTCTAAATATTTGTGCTTACAGAAATATTTATACATATATATGTACATGCACCTGGTGACACAAACTTTTAGAACATTTTCACAACACTTTAGTGTTACTGAAAGTCAGTGCATTGGCACTGTAGTTATATATCATAGCCATTTACAGTAAAATATTTATGGGCATAAAATATATTTTTAGAAGGAAAAATGTATTGGAAATCTTCAAAATATATATTTTTAATGTATGTAATCTATTTGGTGTCACCAGCAAATTCCATTGTTTCACAGCTCAGGTCACTACACAATTCATGATTGTCATTACAAAACATTAAAATCTTCAGTCACATCTCATGTTCAGATCCATGTCATTCTCTTATCAGAGCCAGGTGAATCAGCATGGCTGCTGTTGCTTGATTTTCGTTGATAACTGACCTCAGACAGTGGCAAATCATAATGACATCATCTGTAAAACAAAACATGTGAAGGTGTAATAAACAGTTCTGAATTTGCATGCCATCTGCTGAACACTGGACTGTATTAAATAATTGTACATGTCCATTATTGTTGTGTTTTTGTTGCCCCTTAAGCACCACACTCAAGAAATGTAAGGGGAATGGAGGTATAGCTTCTCCATTCTTGATCGTGACATTAGATGGAGGTGAGTGGTCAGCTTCACAGCCTGGCTGCTTTACCCTTGAGGAAAGAGGCTGCAAACATCCATTATATAGGAGGCTGGGTGGGCTCGAGAGCTGGTGTGGACAATTTGGACAAGAGAAAAATCTCTTGACCCTGCAAGGAATCAAACCTCAGCAATCCTTCCCATAGCACATCACTATAATGACTGAGCTGTCCTGGTTCGCAGAGTATATACAATATATATACATGTTGGACTGTACTGGTTATCATACTGATTTCATGTTTAGATGTCTCAGTTTGGTACTTTTTGAGAAATACACTGAGGATGGTAATTTTGGATAATAATAATAATGGGGCTTGTGAAGATGGAAATTTTCAGAGCAATGAAGGTACCTCCTACCAGCCTACAACACAATGTCATAACCAAGAATACAGCAGTGTGAAAGTAATGGGGCTTGAATGTGCAAAGGTACATCTCAAAACTGCTGGGTTGTCTGACTTGCAAAGAAATGAAGTTTCAGTATTGGGGATTATTCTGTATGTGATTAGAATGTCAGATGTTAAGCAGAGAGTGACCTTTCACAGCCTGACTGCACTGCGTAACCTGCCCTGGACAATGATTTATTGTATTTGGGAGGGAAGGGGGAATTTCATAACTCTTTCAGTATCACACTATGTAGTTAGTTAGATATTTAGAGAGGGTGGGTTTCCCCATGCACTGCGACCAGTTTGATCTATTGTGCTTCCCTCTATGATATTCTACCAGTCTCTTTACCCTACCGATAAATGGTGCGTACCATCAGTCCCGCCGAGCAAGCGAGTTTGACCACTTGCTTAGCGGTGTCTATAATGATTCCCCCATCTATCAGAGGCCTTAGAGACTATTGTTGGGCGGGAAACGTCCTGGAATTTGGCTCAGTGATCCCCTTTGGGGATATGAGGTTCTTTTACATGCCATAAAGTAATGACACGGGACACACAGCTTAAAGTCCCTCCCAGAGGACTTGTTCCCTGAATTTTTCCGCCCTTAAAAATTCGACAACCTCTGCTGGGTATTTGAACCCACGTACCACGAGTCATGAGGTGGGAACGTTACCTCTAGACTACGAAGGCCGCTTATCACACTATGTAAGTAGCATTGAATGGTTAGAAGATTGTTCAGCAATGGAGTGGAAATGATATGGAAAAAAAGTGGTTATGATATAATGTTGTATTTTAGCCTCTTGTTGCACTGATGACGTCCATGATGTGTATGTATTGACTGTCTTCTAGTGCACACAATCTCACTTGTCACTTCACTACATGTTTCGGCATCACTGTGCCATCTTCAGGTGTGTTATTTACGTTAAACTATTGCACTGCTCACCACATGTCATTTATAAAATGATTTAAAATGTATATTCATCATGTACTGTAATAACATTTATATATTAAACTTTGTTAAGATTTATCATCTTATACATTGTATTTCAAACTCGCGTATTATATCAGTATTTCACTATGGGAGTCATTCTTCCTATATTTTGTGTATACTGCGTCTTGTGATGTGTCCTTCTCTTGTGGCTGAATGCGTTGTATTGCTGGATGTGTGTCTATGATGATCTAGTTGAGGTACTGTCCCACAATTTGCCTGGAGGGACTGAGGAATACCACAAAGAGACATCAGAATAACCAGTGTTCCAGTAGAGGTATGGACCATCCACCCCCTGAATGCAAGTCTAGAATGTTTACTATGCCAACCCATTTGATAGTGTATTTTAATGTGTCACTGATAACCCAACATGCAGGCATGATACTGTATCTAGTTCTGACTTAATGTGAAAATTGAGATTCTCACAAAAGTAACTACAAAAATTAATATCTTCTATGTTGTGATGCCATGTAATCTGGTAGATATTTACCATCACTGGGCTCTATTACAGACGTAGCTCTTTTCAGCGCTGCAGGACCCTATTCATTTTTATGTAATTTCTATTGAGTCACTCTTGGCACCATCCTTTCCTATGTAATTGACCAATATTTCCCTGCATAGTGTACTTTTCTATCCTCAAGGTGGGACAGAAGATTCGTCCTAAATATTTGTAAATAAGCTACATGGTGTCTCATCCCAGAAGATCGTAATTTTCATGGTTCTAACTAACATCATACCTGTAGATGAGTGCTGCTTCTTGAAGCATTGATGACACTGATATGGCAGGTGTACAAGAGTTGCTCTAGGTTCAGCAAAGGGTTGGGCTTGCCCAAAATATAATAGCATCTGCACAGATGATTATCCCAGTGTGGCAGCTTCATGCTCAGCTTCGTTGTTCTTTACTTCATGTTGACAGCAAGTCAGATTCTTGCATTTACATATGCTGAGTTTGGCTACTGGGTACAGAAGGTGCTAACAAAAATGTTTGTAGAATTAAGTCCCAGGTATTCAGAAATGACAGATATAATTTAAAATGTTTAACGAATGGTCCAGTTTTATGGGATATGAATTGTATGTGAAGTTATTTAACAGTTTAAGATATGAGGACATGTATGAAATTTATGGCATGGAGTTAATATGAAAATATGAAATACATATGATAGGAGAGAAAGTTGTTAATGAGCTACAGATTAAATAAACACGTGGCATACAAAAATTTACCATGAGGTATAATCAAGATTAATAACAATTAGAGAAATTAATGGTCATTTTGGTGTGAGCCTTAGGAATAAATAGATCTATATCAGCAGCTGCCTAATTGCTGGAACTCTACAGCTGTGATGCAGAATGTTTAATGTGATAAACTGGGTATTCTTTTAGTTTGATTTATGAACTATGTACATGAACAGTAGATGTCACTTAAGGATGGAAAATGACTAGAAGCATTAGATAGTATAGGTCATTGTGGTATCTGAAACAAATATACCAATGAATGGGAGGTACATGAGAGGAAGCGATGCAGCTTGTGGGATTTACCCTTGCAAAACAGAACTTGTTAATGCTTGTACTTGGTCAGGGTGATACCTAGGGTTGATGGACGAGGAAAGATGGTGGGAGGGCTTATGGTCTAGCATGGACAGGGGTAGTATCCTCTGGACTTGGCGAATCATCTCGTCGTGACTTGACTCTCACTACTGCTCTTCGACCTATGCCACCATCATCCAGCTGTTGAGTATATTTAGGCCCCACAGCACCAGGAGTTTGAAGTCGAACTTTCTCAGGATCTCCAGTTGTCTCGTCTGATCGCATCAAGAAGAACAACCCGAAGTTCAGTTGCGGAATGTCATAGAAGACAGTGAGGGTGAGCATCATAAAGGTCAGGCCAACCAACAAGTATCCTGCAACAATAGTACATATTAAATATGTAGTAAAATGCAGGAATAAATTGGAATGTTATACAGAATCTGTTCTAATGAACAGCTGGCTCAGATTCAGGCCTGTCTATGAGTGTGTTCATCTTAGAGCATACTGCATGCCACTCAGGCAGAAGAATCCAGCACTCCTGCCCAGTGGGACCATAGAGACTAGGACCATTGACAGATCTGACAATGCTACAGCCCAACAAGTTATAAACGAAATCCAAGATCACACAAGGTGCTGACAGTGTTCTCTATTTCTTTTGGTAAATGCCCAAGCCTAGCACTGATTTAATCATTACTCAGAAAGAATTATTTGGGGGAGTGGGAGGTGTTTGCAGAGTGTTTAATTAAGAGAAATTGGATGAAATTGGCATTAGGTTTGATAATTCAATGTGTAAACCCAAAATGTCACATTTAGTCTTTTTCTGAAAAAATTCTTGAATGCATGAATGTAAACTTTATAATGAGAGCCAGTAATGCATGTATAACAACAGAGATCATCTCCAGTATTTACTATATTCTGGGTAAATTTTATTATTTCAGTTTATTAGGCTGTGGGCTTGTCAAGTCTTGTAGCATTACGCATCTTCATGCTGTTACTGGACAGGAGGAACATCAGACTTCCACCTGAACTGCCCAGCTGTTTGCAGTAAGCTCTTAAGACAGTCACACTGCAGATCTACATCCGTTTGATAATACTGTAAACGTACTAACCAGTGGTAGCAACTTTGTAAACTGGTCGGTAGGGTTGATTTGGAGAGTCCCCAGGAATGTAGTCTCCCAGGCCAATAGTTGTCAGTGAGATGAAACAGTAATACAGGGAATCGAGGAAATCCCACTCTGGTTCAAGAGTTGCAAAGATGGCAGCTGGTGTTAAAAAGAAGAGACACACTAACAGAGACCCCACAAGGAATAGGTGCAGAAGACGGATGTTGAATGGCTGGTATAAGTGGCCAAGGCGAGAGTTGAGACACTGCAACAACATTGTTGTGGGGACCATAAGCCTTTCAACTAGTGCAGTTAGGAGGACAAGTGTCAGCGGAATTCCCAGCATGGCATACAAGATGCAGAAAATCTTCCCTCCCTTTGAGAGTGGTGTCACATGGCCATAACCTGAAATCAGACACAAGTAATTTAAATGATCACATCAGTCTTTGCCTTTAGATGCAGATTGCTCTCTCAGATCATAAACATACAGTTGGGCAGGTGAGGATAGTATCTGTTTCTCATTACATTATAAGACATGCTTGAATTGTATATTGCATGCCTGTGCAGCTTTCAGTTCACATGGTAATTCCTTGATTTTCATTACTGCTGTAAGATTGCACCATATACTGTCTTTAAGTTATTTTATTTTCCAGGAAACCAGTATTTACTGGAAATATATTTCTAGTTATTGAGGTCTGAAAAGGATAGAATGTGTGTGAGCTAGAGGACCTGAAATGATTGCTGCCTTAGATCTTACATCTATGAGTATTTACTTCATTTATAAGTAGCAGTTTGTTGTAATAAATGACCATGTATAAAATTATATGATTCTTCTTTCTTCTCATGTCTTTACGTAAAACTTTCATCTGTAAATTCAGTGTGCTTTTGATCATGATACATATTAGACAACATCAGTTAGAACATAGGGATATAATTTCAGTTAATCATCTCAGTGATCAATGGTCACAGAAAGGCACATCATTGAAATATATGCAGAGGACATAAAGTATACAGAGTTATTGAAAAATTTGACAAATGTTGCTCAAAACTTTCCTTATTGTGATCAAATTTTCAGGTAAAGCAACTGTCCTAACTGAATGTTTTATCCAACTATGGTATGTGTACTTGATATGAAAAACAGATAAAGCTATCCCTGTAACAGGCCATGGAAGCCCATAGGGTTGTGAGACATCAAGGCTCCCACATTTTCTAGACAGTTGGCTCACAGAGGTTGGTGAGGTTATTAGCCTTACATGCCAGCTGCCATTTACCCCCAGGAAGATACATGGTACACATTTCTGTTAGAGGCTAAGTCAACCTCAGAGCCACAGTGCAGCTGGAAGGATTAGGTAAATTGAAAAATCCATTGACCTCGTCATGAATCAAACCCATGACCTTTCAACTTATAGCCACTAACCTTAACAAACTATGAGTATACAACCTCATTACAACCGTCACAACACAACTAATTCAAGATCAGTGCCTAGTTTTGGATGTGCTACATGTTTCGGCTATTAATAGCCATCATCAGGCAAATACATGGTTAACATGTATACACCACTGAACCACAATACTAGTAAAACTGGATACAATATCATTAATTATATAAAACACTTGATGTAAAAATACAATAAATTAGATTATATAAAACATAAGTTATAGTATAAAACAAGAATAAAATTCTTCAATTGATGTTTTACATCATCGAGTCAGTCATTGGTTTTTGTAATGTTGTTGCGTTCCCACGGACAAATTGGAATATTCTATATTTTGTATATATATAAAAAATGTATTGGAGGCTCATGATGTACGATGTTAAATGTAAGATGTTAAATAAGCAGGATTAAACGGAAACTAACGCGGACAACGGAAATCAAAATAAGCCTTTATACGGAAAATTTCCAGTCTTCTGGAATGCATCGTTTAGAATAATTTTAGGCATCCTATACATTCTACAGAATTTTGTTTTCCCTAACTCTTTAAAATAAGCTTCTAATGGTACTGCACTACCTGCACTGAGATTCAGCAGAATCGTTTTTCCCTTCTGGAAATTTTATTCAGTAAGGGCTCTAGGCCTACAGTTTTACTTTAGTCTAGCAGTTGTCATCGTGGCTACAAAGACAAGAGTTGTGCTTGATCTTAACACAAGATTAAAAGTGATTCATCCTAGTGAGTGAGATAAATTGTCTGTTAAGCAGATCATGAAGATGTTTAACATCGGTAAAACTCAAGTGTATGATATTCTAAAGAAGAAAACGGAAATTTTGAAGCAGTGGGAAACTTGTGCTAATGGAAAAATAAAAAGAGAACTTAAGAAAACTGCAAACAAAGACGTTAATGAGATAGTGTGGGAGTGGTTTGTCACTGTGAGGGCGAAAAATCACCGGTTGTCGGGTCCTATGGTACAAGGAATATGCTAAAAAAGTCGCTGAAAAAACTGGGGAAGACTGAATTCAAAGCATCTAACGGATGGTTGGAGAGTTTTCGCAAAAGACATCGGATAGTTTTTAATGATCTCTGTGGTGAATCAAGTGATGTAAACAGTGAGACCCTTGAGGAATGGGAAGCTAAATTGCCATCCATAATCGAGGGATATGAACCTGAAAACATAGCGAACGGTGATGAGACTGGACTGTTCTTCCGCGTGCTTCCCAATAAATCGCTATGTCTGAAAGGTGAAAAATTTTTGGGAGGAAAACTGTGCAAAGAAAGATTGACTGTTTTCTATGTGGTTTTATGTCAGGTGAAATGGAGAAAACCTTAGTGAATGGCAAGGTAGTAAAGCCACGATACTTCCGAAACATGGACATATAGAAACTTCCTGTTGAGTGGAGATCCAACAAAAAGACATGGATGACGTCACAGATCATGGAGGAATGGTTAACGACCTTCAATGGTAGAATCAAAATGCAAAACTGGCATGTTTTGTTGTTCTTGGATAACGCAACATGCCACCCCCATATCGAACTTTCCAACGTGCAACTTGCTAGATTCCCTCCAAACACCACTAATGTTTCTCAACCAATGGATCAGGGCATCATTCAGAATGTTAAGGTCCACTATCATAAATTATTAATGCAATCTTTGCTTGTCAATATAGATTCTACATCATCCGCCTCTGAACTTGCAAGAACTGTCTCGGTTCCAGATGCGGTTATTTGGATAAGTCAAGCAGTAAAGAAGTTGTTACCAGAAACTGTGACAAAGAGTTTCGAAAAAGCAGGATTTTCTACGATAGAAGTTAGTCCTAGTGTAGAAAATGAGAATGACCAGAAGGACTTACAACATTGCATGAATGAAGCTGCTTTCAGTAACTGCAATTCTGAGGACTACATCAACATAGACAAAGATGTGCAAACAGAACCAGACACAATGGATATCGATGTATTAGTTGAGAATTTTAGAGAAAATCGAAAAGGAAGAGAGGATGAGGAGGAGGAGGAAGAAGAGGAAAATGATATTGTGATAGAAGAAGAAAAGTGTAGAGTGAAGATTTATCAGGATGCTGCCAACAGTTTAAAGGTACTGCAGGAGTTTGCCATGCAACGGAATGATTCAGACATGCTTACTCTAATTTCTCAAGCTAAAGTGTTTGTGGAAAGTCAGGCAGGCAAGAGAGTAAACTGCGTGCAAAAAACTCTGCCGGAGTTCTGGTAAAATTATAAAAAGTGAGTACTGCAATTTTTTCCTGTTCAGTGTAATGTTTGAATGTGTTCAATGATTATAGTGTGATTAAATTAATAAGCATGTTGTTTTGTTTTGTTTTGTTTTGTCTCAAATACGTTTATGTCCTGGTTTAGTTATTATAGTATAACTTGATTAAACGGAAACCTGGCTTCAGCGGAAATTTTTTCTGTCCCTTGAGATTCCGTTTAAGACAGGTTTTACTGTAGTTTTAAATTATTTAAATTTTGTTGTATATAATCTAATTTATTGTATTTGTACATCAAGTATTTTATATAACTAATAATATTGTATCCAATTTTACTAGTACTGCGGTTCAGTCGTGTATATATGTTAACCATGTATTTGCCTGATGATGGCTATTAATAGTCGAAACATGTAGCAGAGCCAAAACTAGGCACTGATCTTGATATAGTTGTGTTGTGACGGTTGTAATAAAGAAGTTGTATATTATAACACAACAGGATGCATGAAATGAAAATTATGAGTATGCTACTGCATGCCCCCATATTTGATATGAAACAAAAGTTCTTTCTTCCAAAATTTGCATAACAGTTAAAATTAAATGAAGTGATATTTTGTGATATTTTGAGATCCTCATGATGGTGACTATGAAGACTGCTGCCTTTGGGATGAGACTATGTATTTTTATGGGTAGATACTGATGTTTTGGAGGAAGCTGGTGCCTCCATCTTCAGGTAACCCAGAAGGAATAGGTGCAGAATAGGGTATCAAATGGCTGGTATAGCTATAAACTTTTCAGCTAATACATTAAGGAATACGAATGTCTGTGGAATTACCAAGATGACATGCAAGATGCAGAAAGCTCTCTCCTGGAAGACAGTAGTCTTATAGAGATATTTTGGTACTTCCGCAGGACTGAAGGTAACGCTTTTCAGATAATGACCGCAAATAGAGACAAAATTATTACCAATAGTTGTGACAACAGTGCTGGAGAAGAAGAGAGACTGTCCAAAGCTCCAGTTGGGCTCTCCAGATGCATTCCTGGCAGCTGAGACTCCTCTGTTACTGGCCTTTACAACTTCCTCAATAAGCTTCTCTAGGTCGTCATCTGAAAACAGGAAAACAGCAGTTGATCTTCCAAGTCTTGCCAGTTATCACATTTAACATTAAAACTCAAACTGAGTTTGAAATGTATACTACTTCCATAGGGTTTCATTTGTGGGCTTGCTGCATAATATCTATACAATATGTAATGTCCTCTGAATATAAATGAAGCTCTTAAAGATTTTATGGAAATTTCCAACCCATCATTAACTCTTGAAGGTATTTTGCTTGCATTATGCTTAAGATCGGTCCTATTTCCATGTGGGACTTGGTTAGGTTTGAAAAGATTTAGACCTCAAGCTTAAACATAAAATAAATTGTTAATTCCACCCCAAGAATTAATTTGCCTCTTTTTGTAACTGTGCATTTAATTAGAAGGGTTCATAGATAAATGTATTTTGGTTTGTGTTATGTAAAAATAAAGTTGTCCCTCTGTCTTATCACCAAACCACAAACATGTGATGGTGGGGTGGGGGTTTATGCTGGGGAAAGGGTGGCCTATACCACTTTGATAGAAGTCAGAGCTGGTCTGGACATGTTGGCAAAAAGAAACATTCCTGCCCCTGCATGGGCTCAAACCCTGATCAGTTGCCAAACACTTTATTGGCTGAACTATGTATTATTCTATTTAAGTGTTTATGTTTTGTAAAATACTAAGCTTTAATTTTACAGTTTCCAAAACTCCCCATTTCATCATGACAGGGATGATCACTCTGTATGACTTCATTGTAATTATATTCCATCTGACTCTGCTGGGGCTTGGAAATGTGAAGCCAGTGAAGGGGGGTACAAACCATGTGCTTCACCACCTTGGATGTTTGGAAAAATTTAGAAATTAGGAAGTATACCAAATATCAGTGCAACAATTTTAACTTGTTTAATTATTCTTCTCTCCTGAATACTTGAGGGCCAGATTAACTTTGGCCGTGGCCACATTAAATGAGTGTTTGGTCAACGAGCGAATGCTACCAAAACGTATTGGTGGTATGCCTTCATTTGGTGGCTTGGCTTCGGCATGGCATCAGCTTCAGGTGAAACAAATATTTTGGTCATATTATTACCGACTAAGATAATTCTAATGGGCGCCTTTTGTTAGTTATTAAGGGTCCATCCCCCGCGATTTTGTGATCAGTGTGATGTCATATGTGGTTACTTTTTCCATGGAAACGTTCTTACAGCAGCATGGAAGCTATTCGCGCTGTTTCGGACAGGTATTTTATTCCCTTCCTCACACAAGTCAAGTGCAGATTAAGTCTAATTCCAATCGAATACCATATGCATTTCCCAGGTGTCAGTTTTCATCATACTTGAGTGCCTGTCTTGCGGTTTCTGAAAACATCACGGTATTGAGGGAATAATCAACGTGTTAATGTTGTATAGAAACCTGTTAAATTGCAAATTAATAGAACCGAAATTAAAGTACATTTTGGTGATACATTATTTAATATTTCTTGACAGTGACTATGTCATGATCAATGATAAAACGCTTGCTATTGATTTAGATGGTATGACTGATATTATAGCTTTTATCCAAATGTTAGAATAGTCAATTATAAATCGATCATATTCCATCTGACCATATTGGATCTGGGAAATGTGAACCCAGAGATGATAAATTCATCTGCCGAACTGCCTGGCTGTATGTATTTACCTGAAGGATTAATAAAACAAATGAACGGTGCGCTGATGTCAGTATTCTTTGAGACATCATTTCTTGAATTTCTGTTTTTACGCAGTGGTGGTTATATTAGTTAATTAGTTGTCGGTGTAATGCATTCTCTTAACAGTTAACCGTAACGATAGCTGCGAAAAAGGCACTGTGGTCAGTGCTATATTCTTGTGAAATTATTCTGCTTAAGTCAGTGGGTTATTAAATGTCGTTGTACACATATTTATCTTCACAACATTATGTTCATATTCCTGTATCAGCTGTGATATTCTACAGCGGATTAACCCAAGTCAATGAGTTTAATTTGTTCACAGTTTCACGTAGACAACAAGGTAAGCTGACATTTGCACAAATCAGACTCGCCGAACATTCGATTCAGAATTTGTGTAGAGCCTTGTTTTAGTGTCATTTAGTACCGTAAGCGTAATGCTGGTTTTGGTGACACGCTGTCAAGGGATAAAAATCTCCGCCTCTGTTAGGAAACGACCTCCAATTACCCGGCCGTCCAGCCCATAGTCATGTCACTATATTGACTCACTATCCCGGTTCTGAAAGTCGATTATTAAGATACTTGTAACTTGTTTTGCATTTATAATTGAAGGTTTTAATCTTAATAATTTACTTTATCATTTGCCGTCGAACTTTTTCTGTCAAGGAAACCTGAGCCAATCCTCGGTAGTGGTTTCTTGGTTTACATTTTGCTCCTGTATTCTTTCACATTCGCATTCTGCTACTAATACGTCTTCAGTAAACAAGAGATTGTGCTACTTTCTACTTGGCGAAGAGATAATACAGCTAATCTGCTTGAAATAGATCCGTGCATAATTAAAGACAATAAGGATTATTATTATTATTATTAGTAGTAGTAGTAGTAGTAGTAGTAGTATTATGGCTCTTCAGCCCTTTTGGGGGCCTTGGCCGCTTTTTCAGTTTCTTGATCCTATACACACTCGGTAGACTCCTTGAACAGGGGATCAGCCCGTCACAAGGCCTCTACCTACACAGGGCAACACAGAATACAGACATCCATGCCTTCAGTGGGATTGGAACCCAGCGTTCGAGTGAGCGAAGACAGCGCGTCCACTGTGATCGGAATACAAAGGATTAGCGTTGTGAAATATTTCCCTGAGGGGTGAAGGCCACGCTTATGACGCTTATCTTGTAAAGTTATAGGTCAGGTGACCAGCCGAGGGGACAGAGATTAAGGGGCTGTGGAACTTTCCACGCATTAAGCAAGTACGCTATCAGACGCATTATGGAAAACCTGCAGCTGTATATTAGTTATGATATCACTATTCGTGTTTATCGGTATTTAGAATACTAAGTACATCAAGGGGCAGATTTATTTCTCGTAGTCTACGTGATAGACTGCAGACTCTTCAGTGTGAGAGAAAATGAAAATAATTCTTACCACAAGATACAAATTTCGTTATGGATGTTGGCTCGCATGATCCGTGCACTGTGGTAAAAGGTAATTAGGGGTACAGTACCTTTGCCCAATAGAATGTCAATTTTCTTTTCTGTGGCGTACATATCTCAAGCAAAATAATACCCATTTTCTCTTACAAATTTCGTAAGAGCAGATTTTATAGACGTGGGGCAATACCGACTGAAGTCGACACATTAGAATCCCACGCTAGAAGAGCCATGTTGTGCAGGCTTGATTCTATTCTATAGAAAAATTAGTTGGAATATTAAAAATAATTAAGAAATTTGCTATGCCAGGGAAAGGAGAGGAACTGGAAAAGAAAAGAATGTAGGCTCCAGGTGTTAATTGGTTTTAGTTACTATAAGTTTGACCCTCGTGCTGGAGCTGATGAGTTTCGTCTGATGCGAACTTAGTAGCATTAGAACGTTAGAATGTGTTTTACTCGTACATGAAATGGAAACAGTCACATGGTCGGTCTTATGGTCTGTCGTTCAGAGTGGCCCTGAGCGTCGGTGGGGGCCATGTTTCTCACGATCAAAAAAACGTTTCATCTCTGTCACAGTGAAATCTGAGCTAGCAAGAGGAAGGCTTGCAATTTCATACATCACACAGCTTGTTAACATGACAGAGCACATCACTGACGAGAGTGTGATCTCAGATTTGAATAGTAAAAATTTCGCGAGTTGTCCTTGGCTCCCCATGACAGATATCAGATAGTACCTTCTATATTTACTCTGCCTTAAAATATGATCATTGTACCGTCTAATAAAGCTACATGACTTCAGGAGATAAACATTCAAGATTTTTTCTTTTGTGGTTTATTTAATTTCGCTTCCAGAAAATCAGACTGTACAGCGTTGAAGGATAGAATAATTAATGAATCATGACTTGGTAGGGATCTGGAAGCAAGCGATGTGGCGTAATTTGAGGCATCATCTGGAGATCTGCCAGAAAGGACTCAGAGAAATTAAGGAAACCCTTGGTCAAGATAGCCCCGGTGCCCTGGTCCAGATTGCAACCCGTCACCTCACGAATTCCATTTAGAAGTTATCTCTTGATCCGGTACACTTGGTAGCATCATGACGTTGCCAATGACTTACTGCACGATATTATTCTTTCGACATCAAAGAGATAATTTCTGTCCGTGCGAGTTAAATGCAATTGCTAGGACACTTATCATTGCCAGCATAAGGACTCTTTTGTGACCGTGTCTTACAGACATGTGACTTTTACAGGCCTATGTCCAATAATATTCAAGAGCCTACCCAAATCTTTCTGAGTTGCATTTCAGTTGCATTTTGTTGGTGCTTCAGAGATAAAACCTATCCCTGTAACAGGCCCTGGAAGCCCATAGGTTGTGAGACGTCGAGGCTCCCACATTTTCTAGACAGTCGGCCCACAGATGGAGGTGAGGTTGTCAGTTTTACGCGCCGGCCGCTCTTTACCCCCAGGAAGATTCCTGGTACTAATTTCTGTTAGAGGCTGAGTCGACCCCAGGGACATAGTGCGGCTGGAAGGATTAGGTCATCGAAAAATCCAATGACCTCATCGGAAATCGAACCCACGGCCTTCCGGCTTGTAGCAGTCTCAACCAACTACGCTACCGCGTGCCCTCGTGCTTCAGAGATATATGTTGGGAAATATTACAGAGATTTTGACTCCCTTAAGGACAACAGTTCGAGGCAGAGGTACAGTTGTCCCTGCGGTTAATAAAGGACCGCACCATTATGGGAGCGTGGAGGTGTAGCGCTACGCATTTTTTGGCATTAGATGGAGGTGACGTCCTGCCCCTGCCACTTTATCCTTGGTGAAGGAACCCCCAGTAACCTTTGGATATAAGGCTGGGTGGGCCCCAGAGCCAGTCTGAATACTCGGAGGAAGGGAAAATCTGTGCTCCTTTTTGAGA